GTAAGATCAAATATCTTGTCGGCCTTGGTGATATCAAAGGTAAACTTTTCGGCTCTTTTCGACCAAAGGGACAAGATATCGGCTTTTTATTCTTAACCCACTCAAATAAGCCGATAATCGGTTCTTCATCGTAATCGAATCTCCTACTTCTTCAACAAATGATACTTTTTACTCCAATTCTTTTTAGGTTCAAAACCCTAGTATCTTAATCAAAGATCCTTTGCACAAGATGACCGAGGCTTTCAAACTCCCGAGAAGCATATCTGTCTTTAAGATGTGGCAATAACCCTTGAAAGCCGATCGGCAAGTCGCCGATCATCCAAAGACCAAAGGTCAGAGCACTTATTTTTTACATCTCGTAGCCTTTGCACAAAGCTTTCTACCGATTCATCATTACAACGTCTCAATTTTACTAAATCGGTAAGCTTCTTTTCATGGATTCCAAAGAAAGAAATACTTATGAAATTGTTTTTCTAGATCAGCCCAAGTAATAATAGAATTTGGTGGTAATGAAATGAACCATGTAAATGCCGATCCGCACAAAGATGATGAAAATAATCGAACTCTTAATTCATCTCTCGCTAGCTGCCTCTCCACATTGAATAATGAAGCGATTGACGTGTTCCATTGTTGATGTATCATCTTGCCCAGAGAATTTAGTGAAATCAATTACCTTGTACCGATTTGGGAGAGGAATTAAATCATATGCGGGAGGGTATGGAGTCCGATAAGAATAAGTATTGACCTTGGGCTTTATCCCAAACCGATCCTTCATAATTTCTGCTATCTTATCGGCCCAAAAAGCATCGACCTCCTGGCGATTTAACCGGCTGAATTTCTACAGAGGTACTGCTGATATCCCTCCACATATCTTTGTGGCCCACGATCTCCAAAGAATCGGCATATTTGCCGTTACTTGTGGTCCATTAACTTTCTTTGAAAGGATTCATCGGTGAGTTGCCGATGCTTGATTCTCGAAACCAACTTGCATATGACCTTGTTGAATCCTCGCAACTTTCTTGATTTTGCTGAACTATATGTTGAACAGTAAATCGCCCCGACCAACCATTATTAGAACTCATCGGTACAAAAATTACCGATGGCTGGTAATTTGGTCGACATTGTTGGATAATTATAACCAAACTTGAGGCATTAATCGAACCCCGTTTGACTCATAGCGGGGCTTTTCTCTTTGCATCGGCAGAAGCTTGCCGATGGACTTGAATTGGGTGTTTGAACCAAAGGCATCTGGAAACCTCCGGAGTTGGTTGCACAATGAGTTGCCGTGTGGCATATTGAGGCACTTGAGCCATCGGTAAAACAGCCGATGGTATAGGAGCTTTTCCTCTCGCATCAAACGCTTGAGGTAACCCAGATTGAAAGCGGATGACTCGGGAGGCATACCATATCCCCACCAATTAGCGAGGAATCGCTATTCGAGACACAGGGGCTGACATAGCCGATGCCGATAGATCCGTATTAAGTTGAACTCGTCCTCCTGGTAGTACCGGATCCGATCGTATCGGTGTAGATTGAATATTAGGTAAGCTTTGCCGACATCTTGGAGGAGAAGTAACTTCACACCCCTACAACGGCCGAGGGAGCCGATGGAGTATTGATGATGCCGGCTCTACGGTTGGTGATAGGCGTGCCCAACGTATCTGGTGACGCTTGTCCTTCTTTGAGAGTTCGAACCACAACATTATGAACAGTATTGGACAGCACATTGGAATGATTAATCAAAGCATGATTTATTGCAGAATTAACCATCTCTTGAAGTTTACCAGGATTGGAGTCAAAGGTAACCTGCCGAGGCAACGGCAAATCTTGCTTCTGGATGACTTGTCCACTCTTGTTCAGGCTAAACGATCTCAGATAAAGCTGCCTGTATTCTTCTATAGCCTTTTCCATGGCCTGTCTCTGCTCTTCCTTAAGATCTTCTTCGATACGCGATAATGTTCCCAGAATCGATCTCGGGATTGATCATATTGATCGGATTGACTGGTCCCACCGGGCGTGCCAAAAGATGTGTTGATGCAAAAGTGGGTCTACAAACACAAAGGGCTAATACCCGAATCGATATCCAAAGCGTGCCAGTCGATTTGACCTTTTAATCGACAAGGATGAAGATACGAGCACTTTGGTCCCGACAACGATGATCGCCCGGAAGTCACGGCCAAGAGGTACTCACGCTGAACTCGAGAATCGCCAAGGTTGCCTCAAACGATGCAACTCACGCCGAATCAATGAGAACTCGTAAAAGGAAAATATGTAAATTGACGAAGTCACTGAAAAGTAAGTAGATGCAAATAGGAGTAAAAATTGGTTTTGATATTGATTGATATATATTACATTGCCCCTCAATCTATATTTATACCCTGATCTAAAGAGACATAACCAAATACGACTAGGACACCAAGTCCATATCTAAGGAAACACGTGACTCTTACATGAATCATACTCTAACAAATATAGAAAAGGAAATCAACTCCTATCTATTTCCCTGTCCGCCTCAATTACGATGGAATTCTTACCGACCTCCTTTCCATCGGCATACTTCCTGTTTCATCGGCAGTAGTTTTCAAGCCTTCCTTCATCGGCATCGACACTAACATCTCCAACCTTATCGGCAACGCCCGAGTCTAAATCAACCTTTCCATCGATCACCACCATTCATCGGCAACCATCTTTACAAGCTGATTTTTATCGGCTGTCAGCGTATACAGTAACTTTCCTCCTGCCGATTAGCCCACTCTGATCATTTTGACACGTGCAAAAAACGGTGTCAACAGGTACAAATATTTATTTCGTAGTGATAGTGATGGTCAGGAGTTCAAAGCCTATATATTGTGTTGTTTTTATTCTTTATTTTTATTATTATTATTTATATAATACTTGTTTATATTTTCACATTTACATTTAGTTGAACGTGAACAATAAAAATAATAGAATGGAAGCATGTTTTGTTGAATGTGATAAATAAGAATGGAAAACGAAACCGTAACCAAACGTAATCGGTACTGGAGAAAAAAGAAAAAAGAAATTAAAAAAGGCATGAAAAAAAACATCCGAACAGGAAAGGTAATTAGAAAAAGTGTACGATCGACAAGGACTCAGCTTGTCTTCCTGACGCACAGGATCTCAACCGACAAGGACTCAGCTCTTTCTGATCCACAGGGTCTCAACGTTTTTGGAAAAAAACGGATTTTTTTAAAAAAAAAACTAAAACTACAAAACTCGTTGTGGTTTAATATTAGAATAGATTTCTACTCTTATCCTTTTCTATTTGGATTCTGATTAAGATAAAAAAACTGAAACTACAAAACTCGCTGTGGTTTAATATTAGAATAGATTTCAAATCTTATCCTTTTCTATTTGGATTCCGATTAAGATATACTCCGTATTTGATTAGAATTCCTAGCTATCTAGGTTACCTTAAGAAGTCTTGCATATGTCATATAAAACAGGACGGTTGTAGCTTACATAGTCGAACAGAGACCACATTCACATAGTTAGAGAGGGCCGGACAAAAAAAAAATAGGAGAGAAATTTTGTCTCTTTAATATTACGTATAGATATAGATACATAAATACAGCTATGTATATACTACTATATATACTAGTAGCTGTCGGACTTGCACGGCTGTGGCTCCGCCACTGCTTAACATGTCTACGAAAATATTAAAAAGGAGCATAAAAGGGATCTGCACAATATTTTATATTTGTTTGTCTGTGTTTAACTTGTGAAAAGATAATTCAAATTGAAATAAAATGGCAAAAAAAATATTTTTTTAAACAGGGCATATTAAATAGGGCCATCTCCGTTAATCCTTTAATGGAGGCGGGTGCCTTCTCACGACCGCCTTCCATAAAGCATATTAACATAGGCGGTCTCCTTAAGACAGCCGCCTACGTTAATATGGTTGATGGAGGCGGCCGTGGCGCCCACCTTCGTAAAGCGCCATTAACGTATACACTTAATCGGAGGCGGATGCCCTGTCCGCCTCCGTCAAGCCATTTTGACCGCCACCTTTAACGTAGGCACTAGTAGTGTTCATCACTCATTTGAATAAGTACTAGCAACCTCATGCTGCCGTAGCCGTTGCGATACTCCCCTGCACGCGCATTGGGCAGGCCCTTCCTCCGTCTTCGATGCCAGGAGACCCTCCTCATCGTGTAGGAGCAACGGTGCTTTGCTACCGATGCCAGGGAGAACAAGGCTGCAGCTGCACGTCAGCTCCTGCGCTCTCGGGACTACGGTCCATGGAGATGTCGCACTCCTGTTAGGCGACTTTGTGGCTTGGAGTTGTTGTTGAATGGGCTGCGACCTGCCCTCCATGCGCTTCCGGCATCAGTAGCGAAACACCAGAAAGTACAGCCGCCTTCACAGCAAGCGAAAGTAGAGCGCTGTCCCAAAATGAATTAAGAGACCAAAAAAACCAATCATCCGCCTTCCTTTGGTAGTCAAGCAGAGGACAGAGGAGGCCCGTCGTTCTGGACCTTTGGCTTGGCGGTGCGCGGGACGAGGGCAGAGACATAGGGAGACATAACCATAGGGGGACGGTCCCTTGCACTGCAGCCTGGTAGTCGTTCGTTCCGACGCGAAGCCGCCAAGCCAAGTGCCAACTGCCGAATTAGGCGGGATAGGCACTACCGTGGGCACGGCAGGCGTCAGCAGGAAGGGGAACTGAGATTTGGGAAGCAGGGCTCTAGTAGTCAGGTCCCTTAATTCGCACTGCGGGAGGTACCTACAGACATCAAGTAGCGCGTGTAATGTCCAACACAAACACAAGTCTGTGGAAGGCTCACCTGAAATCACAAGTGCACAACAGTGTACACACAAACTAGTACGTTTTCCATAAAGACAAGGGGACTCTCTTTTTTGGGAAGACTACATAACATTAGGAGGAAAAGCAGCAGTACTATAAAGGGTACAAAAGAGACACGGCTGAAGAACCAGCTTTGATGTTCTAAACAGTAGTAATAAAGACGATACAACAATCACCAATATTTTACTGCAATTTGGAATTGGTTGGAGTTGGACCTCGAGCGCCTATCATTCTCAGTCTTCATCTGCTCAAGTACTGTGTCTACTAGTGCATGATAGTCACCTTGACAGTGGAACGTAAACTTTTTCAGGTTGGTCAAGTGTTCAATGCCAACGATGCTCCTCTCCGCCACGTGTCTGGACCTGGAGCCAAAGCGAAGGTAAAGCATCTCAAGCATTGCCATGGATCCTTCCTCAAACCGGATAACTTTGGGTAGATAACCTCCAAGTATCAGGTCCCTAAGCACCGGAAATTTGTGGATGGTGCGTGCAACCAGCTCATCCCCGCTGTAGCAGTCCCAAACCACGAACAATGTCTTCAGGTTGGGTAGCGTACACAGGACGCCAAAGAGCTTATCATCAGTGAGGGTTGTAAATAGCACAATAAAACTAACAAGATGTGTGAGTGACCCGATCCAGCTGGGCAATCCATTGGCAATGTCACCTCTGATGCAAAGGGTTTGGAGGAGTCGTGGTGGTGTTGGTAGGTGATGGAGAAAGTTCAGTATCTTGACACCACCATCATCACTCCTTCCAAGTTGTCCTATAGTGAGCCATCGGAGGGAGTGCATCTTACTTATGGACAGAGCAAGTTCGTTGAGAACCTCCTCATCAATGGCCTTGTTGATGTCGATGAATATTGTTAACTCTTCTAGTTCCTCAAGTTCACCTACCTCTTGGGCAACTTTAGAGTCATTCCCAAGAGATACCCCACGCAGCACATGTAGAGCCTTCATTTTGTTGATTCCTCGGGGCATAGTCCACATAGTAACCCAAAGATTATCCTTGTTGCAGAACCGTATGTCCTCGAGTTTCTCCAGCTTTGTGATTGTTTCTGGCAGCTCAGTAAGAAGCGTGTAAGCTAGATCAAGCATCTGTAAATGCTCTAGATTCCCGATCTGCCTAGGCACCTTGCTTATGTTTGTGGCCCTCAAGCTTAGGAACCTAAGTAGGTATAGATTGCAGGCGTACCTTACATGCTTGTTTGTTACTCCCTCACAGTCTTCTAGGTCAAGCACCCGCAAGAGGACGAAGTTGCCTAGCGTTTTTAGGAGCTTGTGTTGCCCATGGAGCTGGAACATGCTCAGTGATCGAACATTTTGTATGTTCAAATTATCCTCACCTCGGCGGCCTTCAACATTTCTCATTGCTACAGAATCTACACTTTCTACATCAGCATGGATGGAGAGGCGACGGATCTTGTCATACAACATCCCCTTATACTGCCCTCCATGTAGGCTAAGAAAGTTAGCTTCCAAGGACTTGGACACCATGACCTCAAGAAGCATGTCATGCACCCTGTATGTTTGCTCCGCCCCAGCATAACCAGCCAAATGGCCTGCTTCTTCAATCATGTTCCTACTCAAGAGTTCGTCCAAGTAAGACTCTGCAACCTCCCACATAGTCAACCCCCGCTTTTGATGAACCAATCCTTCAGCCATCCATCTATTCAATAGTCGGCTCTTTCTGATCACATAGTTCTCTGGAAAAAAGCTAAAGTACATCATGCAACCCTTGAGCTCATGTGGGAGGTGATTGTAGCTAGTGTGACTACATGCTTCATCCCCTCAAGGGTAGGGTGGATATCCATTTGAGAACCAAGTGATTTGCAGACTCTATCCCACTTATCTTTGCCTCCTGGTGATTTGTACCCTTCCAAAACACTAGCAATGCTGATAATGGCCAATGGCAGCCCACCGCATTTTTTCAAGATGTCGCTCATTACATCTTCAAACTCCTTGGGGTAAGCGACATCCAGGGAGCCAAACATGTCGCTCATTACATCTTCAAACTCCTAGGGGTAAGCGACATCCAGGGAGCCAAACACTCTACTGACGAACAACTTCTTGGAATCTTCAGGCTTAAGGGGTTCCATTTTATGAATGCAATGGCCACTAAAACTAGCAGGACTGCATGCATTGGCCACTGTTTCTATCCGAGTGGTCAAGATGATTCTACTGCCCTTGTTGTTCTCTGGTAGCTTGGATTGGATTGCCTCCCATGCTCGCACACTCCAAACATCATCAATCACTATGAGGTACCTGGTTTAAGCATATGTAATATAGTTAGTTTAGCCATATATCCAGAAGGCAATTTATGACCCCTCATGTGCAAAATGTATGAAAATGTTTATGTGCAGTCTCTTTATTTTTGCAGAACAAGGTTACAAGAGTGGGAAGTGCAATTATTATTATTTCTTATACTAGTCTATCAACTCATGCTCTATACATATTAGAAGAGTGGGAAGTGTTAGAAATTCATAGATAACTTTAGGCCGCATCTATTCAAACTACTTGCATTTTTCCTCTCTAATTCTTCGTGTTCTAACACTGTATTTATATAGATATTTTCTTATCTTTCCCTAGTTGTGATAGATTTTAGTTTCCAATTATACTTACTATATACCTTTTAATACCCATTCATTGTTTTCCACCTTCACTACTATAGAAAAGATTTTGCGAGACAGTGCCATTTTATTATCTGAGGCAGGCGGGCTGAACGGTCGCCTCCGTTAATAGGTGGTAGGGCTGCCGCCTGAGCACCCGCCTCTCGGTTAATGCTCAACAGAGGCGAGCAGCATTAAGCATCCGCCTCTGTTAATCCATTAACCGAAGCGGGCTACTTAAGACGTCTTTCTCTATTAATCATTTATTTTCGAAGGCGGTCGTTCTAAGGGTCCGCCTCCGTAAATTGATTTACGGAGGCGGGTGCCTTAAGATGTATGCCTCGATTAATGATTGCAACAAAAAATAATTCATAACTTTTTCAAATGAACTCGGATGAAGGCAAACTTTATATCAAAATTGTAGCTCTCGGCGAGATCTACAACTTTGTAGTTGAAAAGTATTTGAATTGAAACTGTTTAGGGTCCTAAAATATTGTTGTAAATGCACAGATTATGAAATTTGAAATTTAAAATTATCAAACGATCTTGGATGTTGACATGGTCTATACAAAAGTTAAAGTTCTCAATAGAATCTACAACTTTGTAGCTGAAAAGTTTTTAATTTGAAGATATTTAGAGTCCCAAATATGTGTTCGAATGTTATAGATTTTAAAATTTAAAATTTAGAATTCCTAAACGATCTCAAATGTTCACATAGTTAATACCAAAGTTCTAGTGGCCGACCCAATCTACATGTTTGATATTGACAAGTTTCTGATTTAAAGTCATCTAGAGTCTCAAATATGTGTTTTTGAAATTCACATGTTTTGAGGCTCAATTTTTAAATTTTTTCAAACTATCTCTGATGGAGATACATCCCACACCAAAGTTGTAGTACTTAACAAGATTTAAATCTGTGTAGTTAAAAGTTTTTCTATTTGAGTTCATTTAGTAGCCAAAGTATTCAATATAAGGTTACAAAATATTGATATAAAATAATAACATATTATATATAGACATGAATTAGTGTGTGGTTCAGTGGTAGAGATGTGGTAGTGTTGAGCGCCAAGTTGTGGGTTTAACTCTCCAAAGTTGCAAGTTTTTTGGTTTTTTGGATTTTCTGGAGAACATTAACGGAGGTCCGTTAATTGATTCCGCCTGAGGTGGGCAAAGCAACCGCCTCCGTTAATCTGCATTGACGTAAGCATTTGATTGGAAGCGGTTGCAATGCCTGTCTCCGTTAATCGATTCCACCCGCCTCTAGCAAGTTTTCTATAGTAGTGATTGCCACACGTCTCTATGTGTATTTGACATATACTTAGCTAAAACCTTAGTTTCAACTAATATGCTTGACCTAGAAATAGATATGTGACCATTGTTTCTTATACAAATATGTATACAAAGTCATGTTTGTCACGACTTCAACTCCTTGCTATAGTGCGTGGAGAAACCAGAGCTGGTGAAGCAAAAAATATGGTTTTTAGTTTATTTTGATAAGAAACATACAATAACTTTTTGCTACATGGCCCAAGGAGGAGCTAGAGCCAAGCCGGCCAGAGCTCCACCAAATGGGACCTTGGTGCGAATGGTGACTGACATCATGATTGTATTACTTAAGTTAGTTTGTTTCTATATTTAAAAAGTCAGAGGTGGATATTGTATAAGAAGATATATTAGTACTTTGGTATTTTATAAATGATAGATGTAGGTAGATGCAAATTTAGACAATTACTTTATGTTATTTTTCATAACCTGGACTAGAGGTTCCCTCATGCAAAAGCCTACGGCTCTGGCCGTTGGGCAGGTGACTTTAGTCCCGATTGGTTGCCCCAATCGGGACTAATCCTCTCTTTGGTCCCGGGCCCAAATATGTCCGAGACTAAAGCCAAAAACCGATCCAAATGAAAAGTTTGTTCTCTACTAGTGTAACGACATTGCTATAGGTTACTTTAGGTTATTTACAACAATGGTTGGGCCAGTGATTTAAATGCAAATTTATGAGCCTATACTTTCATAGTGGCATAGATGCATGGTTAGTGAGGATGAAGATTAAGGGCTTGCCTTATATTATTTTCACAATTTTCATAATAATAGAAGCGGGAAATTTAGAATTAAGTTTAAGGTGCAACTTTTGATGTTTTCACAATGTCAGATGTGGTAATTAGAAAAACAGAATAGATCCAATAGTGACAATCATTACAGGTGTTGTACTTCTAATTAGGGTTAATGTGAACTTTTCAGAGGAAGACTATAATAGCAATAGATAGTGTAAATATGGTATCATTAGAACTACATGGTCCGTGGGAAGTCACTTTTATCATTAGATAGTATAAATTGAAAGCTCCTTTAATTTAGAGGCGCACATAACAAAAACTACGTGTTTCCTCCGTTCCAAATTATAAGTCGTTTTGATTTTTTTTTTTGTACATGTATAGATACATAGCAAAATTGATGACAAAAAGTCAAAGTGACTTATAATTTAAAACAGATGAAGTATCTGGAAAGCCAAAACATCGTATAATTTGGAGCAGAGGAGTACAGTAGTACCTTTTGTCCACGAGAAGCTCCTCGAGTCTTTTGGCTAGCCCGTTGTCATCCAGGTCGTCGATTGCACCCAGGGCAGCCTCTTCCTTGATGCCCCTGTCGTCAGCTGTTTCGGGCTTCACGACCTGCCGAAGAAGGTTCGTGAGCAACACCTTGAGGTCCCAGCTCGGCTCGAACGCCTGAGACACAGACACCATCCCCTGCCACGGGAACTCCGCTTCTAACCGCCGGCACACCTCCATGGCCAGCGTCGTCTTGCCAGAGGCCGCCGAACCCCACGATAGAGAAAACGGCCTTGCGTTCACCCTCGTCGCCAACCGGCGCCTTCAGCCGTGCAGCCAGTTTATCAGCCAGCTCCGCGATGCCGACCAGTCGGTGGCGGCGGTCGGCGTCGTTAGCTGGAAAGGACACTGTCATGGGGGCGGGTAGCAGTCACGGTTGACGCCGAACCGCGCCTAGCGCTCGCTGATGGCGAGGGTGCGGGCGCGAAGGGCTCTGATCTCACAGGCGAGGCGGCGGCGAGACAGGAGCGTCCCGAGCAGGCGTCCCAGCCCGGCGCGCACGCCGTCGGTGGGCCGGGACCTGATGCGCAGGGTGTAAAGGTCGATGCAGTCCTCCGCGTCGTAGGCAACCTCGCCCAGCTGCCTCATGCACACATGGAGGAAGCGGTCCACGGCCCCATCCTCTGCCTCGGACTGCATGATGAGGAGAGCATTGATGGCGTCTAGCTCGTCCCGCAGCTCAACAACTTGGCCGCCGACGCCACTGAGCTGCTGGTACTCTGAACTCAGCAGCTGCCCGGCGTTGCTCAGCAAGGTTTGGGCGCCCTCCATAGCCCTCTCTCTCCCCGTGTCCGTGTAATGTAACAAGAAAAGAGAAGAAGCGCTCAGCAGAGAAGCAGAGTGCCGCACAGCCGTCGGTTCAGTTGGGGTTGGGGAGAGATTTATGCTGCTGGTCTGGACACTGGAGGAGTAGTGGAGGTCACAGTCTCAGAGCTCGACCCCACGCAAGAAATGGGGGCGAACTTCGCAAGACAAAGACCGCGTGGGCGTGGCGTGTTCGTCCCCGCATGGCGGCCGCGACTGGGGAAGGTGCCAAACGCCATGCGCGGCGCCTCGTTGATGAGGCTCTGTCACGTGAAACCGAATCTGCAGAGCATCTACACCAATGTAGAGACCCGCGTTGAGGTTATCCGAGGCGAGGCGTCAATTTTCAGTCTAAATATTAGGGAGTATTTGGTTCGACTGGACTAAATTTTAGTCGTCACATCAAATGTTTCGACACTAATTTAGAGTATTAAATATAGACTAATTACAAAACTAACTGTATAAATTGAGATTTTGCGAGACGAATCTATTAAGCCTAATTAGCCCATGATTTAACAATATGGTGCTACAGTAGTATGTGCTAATGATGGATTAATTAGGCTTAATAGATTCATCTCGTAAATTAGTCTCCATCTGTGTAATTAGTTTTATAATTAACGCATGTTTAGTCCTCTTAGTTAGCATCCGAACCTCCGATGTGACATGGACTAAACTTTAGCCCCTAGATCCAAACACCCTCTTAGTAACAGCTGTACTCCCCTACGAATGATTTAGAAGACAGAGCCTTTTATTTATTCTGACGAACAAAAATCATTTTTGTCTATCATTTTTGTCTTTAAAAATGCTCAACCATTTTCAGATACAATCAATCTATGCAAGGAAGCAGTATCATCTCCTAAAATCGATTAGCAGAAGTGGATTTCGTCTCAATCTATGCAAGGAAGCAGTCTCATCTCCTAAAAACCATTAATACAAGCGGATTTCCTAATATCCGTCCCTGAACGTGAGACCCGCCTATGAAGATGCCGAAGCCCATTATCAAATCCTACAGCCTTTTTTGTTTTATAAAATGTTGTCCCTCTCTTTATGTCTCTCTCCCCATTTCCTGCCCCCTCTTTCCGTCTCTCCTCCTTCCCCACCCGACAGGGCCAAATATTCTTTTTATACCTCTCATCTAGACACAACCATAGCATCTCTTCCTACACAGATATACACCTACTCCCTCCGTTTCAAAATAAAAGCACGTTCAAGATTCAAATAGAGAAAATGTTGTAACTGGGAAATTACCATTCTACCCCTAAAAAAAGGTGCAGCAGACATCACTGGCACAGGTGCAGCAGCAGCGAAGAGTGTTCGCATGAGTGGCTGAGAGGCTTCTGGAATCCAGCCAGAGGTACACGTGTTGCGGTTTTTCTTTTTCTTTTATTATTTTTGTCATAACTTACTACTATTTTATTGTCTTGGCCCATGTGTTTCTTTGGTCCCACACATCATGTTGTCTTTTATTTTAGGAAAAAATTCAAATCGTAGACGTGCAAATGTGGTGGGACGGAGGGAGTACACACCACACACGCACACCTTGTATGCATTCAGATATGAAGATGCGTCCTTAAAGAGATCACCGGAGGCCACAAGCTCTGTTAGGAATGAAAACGGATAGGATCGAAGCGGGTAATGTCTTCTCATATCCTAATCCATTTTATTTTATCGGATTCGGAGCAGATTCGATATTACACGGATTCAGATGCGAATACGGATTTCTTAGGTTAAATGGTATGGATTCTCGGACCGGTGTTGGAGTGGAAGCGGACATTTTAAGTCCGATAATATGTGCTTACTTCTTGTTTTTTATGACGAAAAATAATTCATCCACCAAAGTCATAAAGCGGCAATACAACATGAAATAATCATCATCAATCCACCGCTTCCGTTTAAGAGCTCACAAAAATTAATACAAGTTCTCAGATTGGATTTAAGAGTATAAAACAAACAAGCATTGTTCAAGTGTAGGACTGCGTGTCGCCATTGCTGATTAGCCACCAATCGGCCAATGTAACACCCCGCGTCAAAAAATTGCTTATATGGCCCAGCTCCACGTAAGGAACGGACTTGCATACGCGTAGCACCTCTCTTACACTTTCGTCCTCGCTTCGTGTAAAAGGGTTAACCCGGAGGTGTTATGTTTGGAACGACAAGGCTTATAAGCTGGCCTTCACCATCCTAAACTTTCAAGGTGATACAACAACAACAACAACCCCATATGTGTCACTTAGGCTATATAGGCCAACTTCACAACTGCTACAGGCTACTAATGGGCTGAGGTGTTACAGCCAATCACTAGGATTATGATTACATGTTATGTGAAAAGATACTTAAATTAGTATAGATAGTTGACGAGCTTTGCTTCTGGGCTATAATATAAAAATACTTGTGTCATGGGCTGGGCTGACTTGTGTACACTTGTCGCTTGGACTCCTTAAAATATTCAGATTGATAATCCTCGTTCAATTATCGGATAATACATATCCACCGGGTTTGGTTGATCACATTTTCTACACCGCATCCGCATATAATTATCCTCTTATAAGTGTTGGATAATCCGCGTTCAATTATTGGATAATCCATATCCGTTGGATTCCGTTGATTCCATATTCTACACCGTATCCGCATATAATCGGATTCAGATTATCTGTATCCACACGCGGATATTAAAAACACTTTATATCCTTACCACTTTCACCCCACGTCGCAGTCCCTTTTTTATATCCATAGAATTCGAATACCACTTTCACCCCGCGTCGTAGTTCCTCTGTGGAACCACGCGTTGAGAGGCTGCACTTGGATACCACTTTCACCCCGCGTTATAATCCCTTTATGGGACCATGCATTGAGAGGCTGCACTGACGTAAGGTGGAAACCCCGGTGAGGAAACGCGGTCGATCCAGGGATCGAACCCGCCGTTCGCCCACTGCGAAGACGCACCGCCCGAGCTAGCTCTCGGCCTCGACGGGGACGAAGATTGGGTGACTTTTCTTGGGTAAGAGCGTGATTGGTTGGCTGCATGGAGGTCGAACTAGCCTCACGGCATGCAGTCTCTTACATTTTGATGCCTGCACAAGCGTCAGAGCCTGTCCCAGTTAGTGCAAAAGGCAACTCGGAGGCTGCATCTGTGGATACGTATTCTTTGGACATTCCTGGCGATACAGGCCCGTGGCATGTACACCATGCGCCAACTAGTGACTGGATTAGCGTATGATTAGTGTACATTAATGATATTAACATATTTCATAGGATAATAAGATAAAGTAAGAACTATTAAAAAGTTTATTTGTACAAAATAAATATCTCAGTAACACATGTTATCTACTTTTGTCTCATGCGGTGCGGGTAGCCAAATACTATCTCTTTCAGCCAGCCTCAATACATACACCAACCAAATGTAATAGTTTTGCATGTGCTTATCCTGTCTTGTGGGAACGCCAGGCTAGGTCGCACTGCCAATCAATCAGGCCACTACCGTGGAGTTTAGCCGGCGAGGGATGACAGAAATCCGACAGAGGCGGCGGCGGCGCGACAGTTGAGGTTGAAGAACCAAATAAAGGCCTGTTTGGCTCGCATCCAACTTGCACCGCGGCACGCCGCAAGTGCCAAACGCTAACGTCACAGTTAGCCAAAAGCTTTGGCAGCCGCAGCAGCTGCTAGTTCAATCTTTGTGCCAGAGCCTACCAAATATTTAGCGACGAAATTGAGCGTTGTAGTTTTGGCGTCGCAAGCTGAACTGAGGCGTAGGCCAAACAGGCTCCAAGTAGCCCCCTCAGTCTCCCGACTTTTATATTAGGATATATAACCAAGAAATTGGCCGTGGACTCGCAAGTCAAGGCCCCGCACCTGTCCACCTGTCCTGGTGTCTTGCCATGTCTCCGCCGGGCGCCTGCTTTGAGCACCGAAGGCCGGGGCGACTAGAGGGCAGGTGCCTCGAGCTCTCTGCCTAACGCCATGTGCGGTGCCTCGTTGAGGCTGTCACGTGTAAAGATGGCAACGGGGATGTACCCGTCGGGTATCGCCGGAACGTTCTCTTCCCCGCTACGGAGAATTCAAACCGTCCCCGTCCCCATTAACTGTCTCGGGTATAGATTCTTGCCCATCCCCATACCCGTCAGGCATCAGTCGGGTAACAGATACCCGACGGGTACTGCATACCCGATAAACAAGGACACTTGGGGTCGCAGCTTTGCAATCGGAGACGTTTCTTCTTCACCCGGGTATAAGTGTCGGAGTCTCGGAGATGCCGAGGAGAAGGAGCGAGGTTGCGAGGAGGACGAGCAAAGGTGGCAAAGAGACCAAACTGAGGAAGCGAGGGGCACGAGCGCTCGTGAGGCAGGCGTGCTTGTGCTGCTGGCGGAGATGGTGAGAAAAAATTGAACTAGGGTTCGTAGAACACACAAACTATATATATGATTGTTTAGATTTGGGGCAAAATACCTATGTTAAGCTTCTTTGGGCCTAATACTCGCATGGCAGCTCAAATAGTCGGGTTCCTCAATGGGTAACGGGGACGGGTAAACAGGGAACGTTCCCGTATCCGCTATACCCATCGGGGATGGATTCTTGCCCATTTAGATGCCCGCGGGTAAAGATATGATCCCATACCCATCCCCTAATGGATCAAATACCCGTCGGGTATCGGGCCCCATTGCCATCTTTAGTCACATGAAACGAAAACCCAGAGCATCTGCCCGTTATGTCCCATAAAAAAAGCGTTCCCATAAAGAAAAGTCATTATGAGACTCGCGTTTTAAGGTTGACTAGGTTTATAAAAAAAAATAGCAACATTTATATTTTCAAATAAGTTTATTAAAAAAATATATTCAACGATCTATTTAATGATACTAATTATGCATCATAAATATTAATATTTTCTTATATATTTAGTCAAAGTTTATAATTTTTTATTTTTTTAAGTGAGATTGACATTTTTTATGGGATAAAGGGTGTACACCAATGTA